TAAACCCTAATGTAAACCCTAATGTAAACCCTAATGTAAACCCTAAAAACTGTTAAAATATAGGCTGGCTAGATAGTAGGAATAGCAGGACTAGCTGAAAAGATTTTAATAACTTGTTTTTTTTATTTTTAACTAGCTACTTAGGTTAGACTATTTTTAGGTTTATAAACAAAATATAGCTTAAAAAGCTATAAACAGATTTAGAAGCAGATAAAAAATTAAAAAGATTATATATTATATACCGGGCGGTCAGAGAAGACAATAGATTGTTGGGATATTTAAAATATATAAAGTAGTCTGGGTAAACTAGATAAACTAAATAGACTAGATATTCTAAGTAGACTAGATATTTTAGATCTATACTATAATACAGACAGATGCTTAGATAGGTATAAGTACAGACCCTACTGCACCTGCTAAAAAGGTATGTTATAATAACTTAACCAAAAAAAAAACCCGCAGGTCAGGCTTTTATAATAATTATATTATATATAGATTGGACTAAAGATGCTAGGACTAATCTAGTCTAAACCTATTATATTTTACAGTTCTATAGCTAAACTGTTTAAAATCTAAGGTTAGAACTTAAACTTAAAAGTTGTTAGGCTACTTAGCTGGCTTAGCTGATTTAGCCTATTTAGCTGATCTATTATATATAATTATACTATTAAAAAAAAAACAGTGCTTAGTATAATCTTATTTACAGTAGACAGATTTATATATTATACTTATTTAAGTAAATTATAAGTAAGTAGATACAGTATAATCTTAATTTATTCTAGGTACTGATAAGTATTAAAAGAATAAAAAGTAAAATATAGCCCAAACTGTTATCTACTTTTATTATATATATATATATAGTATATATATATAGTACTAATAGGAATAATTAAGTATAGTAATAATAAGGTCAACTCTCCAATATACTAATAAAATAATAAGTAGAATAAATATATTTAAAAGTAAAAAAGGCCAATAGACTAAGAAATAATAGCAAAAGCTATAGAAATCAGATTTTTTAAACTTAAAAAAAAATCATAAGACTGGGAAAATAAGTAGAAAGTTGGGAGTTGGGACCCAGTCACCCAGCTGGTCCAAATCTATTATAATCAGCTTAACAAAAGCACTTAACAGCATATAAAGGCTGATATATATCTAGTTATATAAAAAAAAAGATCTAGTATTATATAGATCTAATAAATAAATAGTATTATAATATTAGATGGTTTTACTTATAGATTAAAATAGATATAGATAGATATATTAAGATTTTATCTGCTTAGCTTACTACTTACTGGGGACCAGCAGCTGCTGGTAGCCCCTAACTAACTAGTTAGTATAAACTTAGATTACTAATTTAGATTACTAATAACTAATTATACAGCTTAGCTTACTACTTACAGCTATAGGTGCTGGTAGATGGATTTCTACCTATCTTTCTATATTTAGCCCTCTAATTTCTAAAAAACAAAAAGTTGATAATAATTTTTCTAAGTTGATTCTAAATTAGGTTAAGTTTTATCTACAGCTTTAACAACCAGTTAGAGCAGCAGAATAGATTTTTAGATACTAAGAATTAAAGTACTTACTTATAATAGACTATTATAAAATCTATTAAAGTTTTAAAAAATTGTACTTTTTAAAATCTGCTGTATTAGAGTTGCTATACTATCTGCTGTCCGGGCGTATCGCCGCAGGCAGAATATAGTAGCTGTTATTAATATTAACAACCAGTTAAAGCAGCAGAATAGATTTTTAGATACTAAAAATTAAATTACTTACTTATAATAAACTAATTTAAAACCCTATAAAATCTTAAAGAATTCTGCTTTTTAGATCTGCTGTATTAGAATTGCTATACTGTATACTATCCAGATATATTACTGCAGGCGAGATATAATAGCTGTTATTAATTTTAACAACCAGTTAAAGCAGCAAATTAGATTTTTAAATACTAAAAATTAAAGTACTTACTTATAATAGACTACTTTAAGACCCTGTAAAATCTTAAAGAATTCTGTTTTTTAGATCTGCTGTATTAAAGTTGCTATTTTGTCTGCTGTCCGGGCGTATTATTACAGGTAGAATATAATAGCTGTTATTAACTTTAACAACCAGTTAGAGCAGCAAATTAGATTTTTAAATACTAAAAACCAAAGTACTTACTTATTATTAACTACTTTAAGATCTTATAAAATCTTAAAAAATTCTGCTTTTTAGATCTGCTATACTAAAATTGCTATTTTATCTACTGTCCGGGTGTATTGTCGCAGGTGGAATACAGTAGCTGTTGTTAACTTTAACAACCAGTTAAAGCAGTAGAATAGATTTTTAAATACTAAGAATCAAAGTATTTACTTATAATAGACTATTATAATCTATTAAAGTCTTAAAAAATTCTGCTTTTTAAATCTGCTGTATTAGAGTTGCTATTTTATCTGCTGTCCGGGCGTATTACTGCAGGTAGGATACAGTAGCTGTTATTAACTTTAACAACCAGTTAGAGCAGCAGAATAGATTTTTAAATACTAAGAATCAAAGTATTTACTTATAATAGACTATTATAATCTATTAAAGTCTTAAAAAATTCTGCTTTTTAAATCTGCTGTATTAGAGTTGCTATTTTATCTGCTGTCCGGGCGTATTACTGCAGGTAGGATACAGTAGCTGTTATTAACTTTAACAACTAGTTAAAGCAGCAGAATAGATTTTTAGATACTAAAAATCAAATTACTTACTTATAATAGACTATTATAAAATCTATCAAAGTCTTAAAAAATTCTGTTTTTTAAATCTGCTGTATTAAAGTTGCTATTCTGTCTGCTGTCTGGGTATATTACCGCAGGTAGGATATAGTAGCTGTTGTTAACTTTAACAACTAATTAAAGCAGCAGAATAGATTTTTAGATACTAAGAATTAAAGTACTTACTTATAATAGACTATTATAAGATCTATTAAACTTTTAAAAAATTCTGCTTTTTAAATCTACTGTATTAAAGTTGTTATTTTATCTGCTGTCCGGGCATATTACTGCAGGCAGGATACAGTAGCTGTTGTTAATTTTAACAACTAGTTAGAACAGTAGAATAGATTTTTAGATACTAAAAACCAAAGTACTTACTTATAATAGACTATTATAAGATTTATTAAAGTTTTATAGAATTCTGCTTTTTAGATCTGCTGTATTAGAGTTGCTATTTTATCTGCTGTCCGGGTGCGTTACTGCAGGCAAGATACAGTAGCTGTTGTTAACTTTAACAACCAGTTAGAGTAGCAGAATGGATTTTTAGATACTAATATTTAGAATAGTATATATTTATACCTTTCTTAATAAAATATTTAAATTATAGAAAATTCTGCTTTTTAGATCTGCTGTTCTGTAGTTCTTTTTATTTATCTTATAATAAATAGGATTGCCTAGATAAACAGGATAAAAAAGCTTAGCATATATTCTAATCTAGATTTTATATCTATCTGTATTTAAATTAAGTAATATTTAATCATAATCTTTACTAAGCTATTACTTACCTAATATAGATAGTATAGATTTTATCTTTGTAGTTTTAAAATAAAAATAACCTTCTCTATCCAGATATCAAAAAATAATCTTAAAAACCCTATTCTTAGCATCTGAAAATATATGCTGATTTACTATATAGATTTTAATAGTACTATAAATCACTATTTTACTTTCTATCTGCTAGATCTAATTTTAGATAAACTAGATTACTGCCGGGCTAGCTGTTTAGTTGCTAAACCCTAATTCCAGCTGCTATATTTAGTATATAATATTTATCTGGCTACTGCACCTGTGGAATATCTGTACTATTTTATATATATATTTTATCTGCTGAAACAGCTTGATTTTTAAACTAAAGGGCAGTATTATTATTAATAATATTATTTATATTTATATCTAATTTAACTGCTCCAGCTGCTGTAAATCCAGCTGGAATTAAAAATTATTATATAATATTATATAGTATTTATTAATCATAATCTAATCCAGCCGCTGTATTAACTATATCTGGTTTAAAAATAACTAGAAATTTTTACTAACAGCTGATTTAGGTGTTATTAGTATAATTAATATTTTATCTGGGGGCTGCTGGTTTTTTTATATTATATATAGGATTCCCAGCTCCCAGCAACGCTGCTGTAGATTAGATTATAATATAATTAATAAAACTACTACTACTATTAATCTACTGGGTGCTGTAAATATAAATAATATAAATAATATATTTTTTCTATTTTTTATTAGTATTACAGCTACTACTGGGCTGTTTCTATTTTAAATTATTTATAATATAGGCTGCTATATTTTATATAATTATATATTCTATCTAATTATTATTTATAGTACTATTTGTATATCTATCTAATAAAGCTGCTGCTGCTGGATTATCTGGCTTTTAATTACAGTCTTTTTTATAATAAAGTAAAAGATATAGGATCCGAGCCAAACTCTGCTTTACTAAATCCTAAAAACTAATACTAATCTGTACTAGAAATCTAAAATATCTACTGCTGGTATGCTGTAGTCCCGGCTTATTTTATAATATTTTATCTATATATTATTTCTACTATATATAATAAATATACTATCTGTAAATCTATAATATACTTTTACTATCTGTTTTTATTTAATCTCTCTTTTAAATCAGTATTTAATATAGTTTGTGCGGTATTCTGTTTTTTTTATTAATTATATATAAATATACTACTCAGCTGTATAAACTACTGGCTGATTTTAATAGTAATATTCTAGTATTACGAAATATTAATACTATAATATAATTATATTTATATTTTTTATTTTAATATTTTTTAAAACTGTTTTAATATCTATTTTTACTAGCTGCTGGGATTAGGGCCTTATACTAATACTAACAGGGCAAACTCTAATATAGCTGGACTACTAGTTGGAAGTTTAGAACTAAATCAGCTAAATCTTATTTTACCAGTAGTTTTATTAGAGCTGTATATTATTTTATTTAAATAAACAAGCCACACCTTCAGTTGCTGGATAAATAATAATATTAATTATAAATACTATACTAATAACTTACTAATCTTTTAAAAAATATACTAGTAGATTATTTTAATATTATTACTAGTATAAAATCTTTTATAGTATACTAATACTACTACTATTATTTTATTATTAATAAATATACTCTACTGCTGGTTCTACTTAGTATTAGTATACTGTAAACTTAATAATTTAGGGGTGTATCTAGACTAACTACTAGTAATATATACTAACACCACCAGTTTTTCTTTAAACTAAGTTATAGTATAGAAATATTAGTAGACTAGTTTAGCCTGCATCCGGTCCAGCTGCTATTAATATATAAATTATTTTTATATTATAGATTCTATTTATATTTATTTAATTAACTACTATTATCTGTTTACCGGCTACTATATCTATATATTCTATAAAAAATTCTATTCTATTATTTGTTATATAGGATTATTATACAGCTGCTGCTATAAAGTCTTAGATATTTATTAAAATAATAGTTTATTATATAAAATCTGTTGTACTGTTCCGGCTAGTCTGTAGATAAACCCCTAGAACTGTTCTATACTAAAATTAATATACTTATACAGCAGCTGATCCTTACCTATTTATATTATATATTTAGGGGCAGTAGTATTATAATAAATTTTTAGTCTATATATCTACTAATTCTATAATATTTTTATTAGTATATAATATCTGTATACTATCAGCTGCCGCACTATTTATTTTATTTATTTCTAAAATAATTTTTATATCTTCTGGGCCTGTTAGAAATCTATCTGGGGCTGTCCGTCCCTGCTATATATAAATAATATTAGGAGGGATAACTAAAACCCTAGTTTAGTTAAAGTATAGTTTTTAATATTAATCTTTTTATTAAAATTATTTATTACTGCTGTATTATTTAGCAGCTAATCAGTACAGCTGCCTGTCTACTTTTATATTTAAATAATCTAATTAATATAGAAATCCAGCTATAATGCCTTCTGGATAATTATAAACCATACAACTTTAATTATCTATAATAAAATAAGAGGGTAGCTTTTAGAATTATACTATTTATATTCTAATTAGTCTAGTACTGCTATAATATATACTAATCTATTTTTATACTTTTATATTTAGTATTTTTAATTTAATAGTTTAGTATAAAACTTTAAATATACCTGCTCTAGTATATTTATTACCCAGTCGGCCAGCCTATTATTTATTTTTATAGAATTAGAACTGTTAGTACAGCTAATTACCAGCTACTATACTATCTACTACTTTTTCTACTATTAGAATATAAATTTATAATATAAATTCTACTACTTATACAGTATCTGGGTTTGTATAATAAATTTTAAAATCTGCTGCTATAGTTATATATATTTAGTAATACTAATAGTATTTATATATAGCTATAGTAGCTGGTATAGTATCTATTTAGCTTCTAACTATACAGCCTTAATATAAATTATTTATCTATAGTACTGTACTATCTGCTGGCTTTTTTAAACTATTTATTTTATAGTATTCTAAATCTATACTATACTCTGTTTTATAGAATCTGGGGATTTATTTTTAAATATAGCTATATATTATAATAACTAATTAAATAAAATATTCTGTAAATATACCACCCATCCAGTCATCCGCAGCTATAAGTTAGTATTTTATTTTTAATTAGTTTAAATAGTCTGCTGTTTTTATACCTTTTATATATACTTTTATATCTAAATCACAGTATTTACTGCTTAATTAGCTTAGTCTGTAGGCAATAGCTGCAGTTTGCTGTTTTTATAGATATAAATATAATATAATCTATACTAGCTGGAAAACAACTGCTAGTAATTTATAATTTTATATAAGTAGTATAGCTTTATTTTATTAACTACTTACTTATAGGTACTAACTTATCTACTATATATATTCTATATCTATCTGTAATATCTTTTCCAGTAGATTTATATTATTTTAATACTATAGGTAATATAATTATATCTATAGTCCTAATAATATAATAATCTATTATAGAAAATAAAAACCCCAGCTACTAAAAATTCTATTTAAATGGGAAATATTACTGTATTAGAATTAGCAGTAATCCTATTCTACTTTAGAACTTTGCTTTAAATTTTTTTAGCTTAAATATAGGCAATCCGGTAAGTAGGATTTTTAAAATAGTAAGTAATCTTATTAGGCCAAATCCTATATTAATATTACTTATAAATTACTACTAGCAGTATTATAAGCTGAATAAACTATTAATTCTTTATAATTCTATATAAATAAAATAAAACTGGAATTTTAAATAGATAATAATAAGTTTATATTATATTTCTCCTAAACCGCCCTAGATATAGTTATAGAGTAGCTGGGCTGATATCTAACAGTAGCTACAAACTACAGCTAACTATAATTTTAATAAAAAAACTATAAATATTTTACTAATTACTATACTATTAAATCTGATGGAATTTATCTCTAAATTAAAATATTACAGCTGGACTATTTTTTTTATAAAGTATAAAAATTTTAAAGGATTTTACCTAGGCAATATAGTATAAGTGTATGTCTAAAATTAATCTAAGTCTATATTACCAGTTGGCTGCTGTAGCTAATTGGGTAGTTAGTTATACCCCACCCAAGTCCTACTTTAATCCAAATGAACCTTTACTCAGATCACCCCTGTAGATTAGAATAAATTTTCAGATACTAAGAGTCAAAGTACTTACTTATTATTAACTACTTTAAGATCTTATAGAATCTTAAAGAATTCTGCTTTTTAGATCTGCTGTACTAAAGTTGCTATATTATATACTATCCGGGCGCATCACCGCAGGCAAAATACAGTAGCTGTTATTAACTTTAATAATTAGTTAAAGCAGCAGAATAGATTTTTAGATGCTAATATCCAGAATATTATATATTTATATTTTTTTAAATAAAATACTTAAATTGTAGAAAATTCTGCTTTTTAAATCTGCTATTTTATAGTTCTTTTTATTTATCTTAGAATAGATAGGATTGCCTAGATAAACAGGATAAAAAAGCTTAGTATATATCCTAATCTGGATTTTATATTTATCTATATTTAAATTAGGTAATATTTAACTATAATCTTCACCAAGCTATTACTTATCTAATATAGATAGTATAGATTTTACCTTTGTAGTTTTGAAATGAGAATAACCTCCTCTATCCAGATATTAAAAAACAATCCTAAAAACCCTATTCTTAGCATCTGAAAATACATGCTGATTTACTATATAGATACTATCACCATTAGCTCATATATCAATCCACATGGTCAGGCTAAAGAAGACTCGCTCTGTAGTTTCCGGCCGGTCTCGGCTACAATTTACACCATAGTTTCATGTGACACGGTCCTTTTGGCGTGCTTAACACAAAGTGCCTCTTATTCCCAAAAGGTTCACGTCTACACCAGGATTTCCAATACGGGTATTTTATGTACACTCTCTATTTGCAACCGACAGATTCAGGAGCTGAGAAGATACGGTTACGCAGTAATAGTGTGTACCATGTTTAGGGGTCCGTAGACAATCAAGCACTTGGTTGTTGACTTTCTGAAAGCTTGCTTGCTGCGGTTTTCCAGTCACGAAGTCAAGAGCTGACTTATTCTAGCCTAAACTGTTCGTTCCTAATGAGTACAAAGTCCACTTCCTCATTTGCTTCGAGAGTCTTATGGATAAAGATTTCCGCTTTCTCCGCAACCTCATGAACCGAGCTCGGCTGCTTTGAGGTATAAAGCATCCATACACCAGTTGGAAGGTTGGTGACCTTGAAGCTAATACTGGCTCCTTGACCCGCCCATTCACGCACAGTCACAACCAGGGCACTCCGGCTCTCATCCCACACGCCTCGCAAACAATCCACCCCTTGTGATAGATCCAAACCATCAACATGCGGGCGGCTGGCCAGGGTGTCTTTGGTCCATGGCGAGTCATACATTTTCTTCATTCCGTTCTCAACATTCAGGCGCGAGTAGCCAATCGCCGCGTTACCAGAGAAAGGATCCATATGTGTCCAGTGGCCGTGCTCATCGGTTGCTACATCATTCCGCGGGTAATATAGCCCACCCTTTTCCCAGGTCGGCTGAAGGTGTTCGTCGGCATAGGCAAGGATTCCGTCCAACTCCGTGGTCTTACCGAGCTCTGAAAGCCATTTGACAACATATCCGAAAGTCGGTTCGTTGTAGGGGAAATTGATAGTGGCCCGGTTTGCTAAATAAAAATCTCGTGCCTTTCGCAGTATCTTCGAACGGGAAGTTTGGGAAACATTTTCCTTCGCCACGGCTTCTCTGTAAACACCTGCGACCATGGGGTGTTGAAGCTCGACTTTTCCGTCAATATTGGTGATGAATCCAGTCGCGTGGCAGTCGAAGCCGGCACGAACAAAGTCCGAGTTCCAGGTATTCATAAATGCAGCAGCCCTAGTTGCAGTATACAGATCAGAAACCAGATCAATGTCACTAGAATTAAAAGAGTTTCTCTTACCATGCGGTGAAGCCCACACTCCTCGCTATTGCAGTGTAACCCTGTTTCACACTAACCCAGTCTTTAAACAGGGTATTCTGAGAGATCATGTCTTTCTTCTCGAGAGCGTCTTTGTACTTTCCCAAGACCTCATCCGTAACTCTGGTGCCGTCCCGTGAGTCATTGAGATGCATAGCAATTATCTGAACAGCACATTGTTAGCCAGGGCATCACATTAACGGTATATCATTTTGCACTCACAGGAAATTGATTGCAGGCCACGAAAACCAGGTTCGGCTCGCAGCAAACCCCCACCCATTTGTTCCGCTCCATCTCCTGAATGATCGCCCGTTGGAGGCTCCGATTATCATAGGCGAATGTTTCCGGACCCATTCCCCAGAACAGCGGATTCCAGTGGAAGGTAAGACTACCTTCCTTTTCGAATTCATCATCGTCAAACAAGATGCCGAACAGACTGGTCATCAACAGCAGGTGCCCACTATACATGATATTTTCTCGGACCACAGGGTTCGCCCAGGGCTTGCGAAGCTCTTTCAGTTCTGGATCGAGCATGATCCCCGATTGCGAGGTGAGATACCAGTAGCCCCATACATCACGCAGGAGCATCTTATGGATCAGACGGCGGATCAGGGGCTTGAATAGCCCGCGCAGAGCGGGCATGCGGTGGTAGTAGGTCAGACCCGAGGCGTAGGCCATGGTCGCGAGCTGGTACCGGTACGCATCTAGAAACTCCTGCGCGGGCTCCTGGGAGCCCATATGCGGCCAGTTGCCATCTATCGCCGTGCTGAGGTTGTAGAAGTGGCGCAGATGCCCGGCCTGTTCAAGCGAGAGCTTGGGGTAAGAGGAGATGTCCAATGGCAAAGGTTTGTCGGGGCGGACTTTGAATGTTGAAGACATCTTTCTTGGTTGAAGTCCAAAAGTGATTGTTGGCTGTCTGGTCAGGTTTATGAACAGGCGTCGCAGACTCTTATACCTAATTCCTTGGGGCGCTGCATGATGCCCCATCCAGTGGCCTGAGTAAGCGGGCCTAGCTGAGTTCCGAAATTCCGGGCGGGTAAATAAAGTTGACTACCGAGCTCAAGCCCGCTTACAAAGAGTTGACCCAGAATTATTATCAACCTCTGTTCTAGACCTAATGTCGGAGGCAATGGAGCAGCAATAGAAGTTTGTGCGCCGTCTATCCGGTGGATAAGCCTCCATTGCAAACCTAATGTGACCAGCGGGCGAGTGGGCCACCTTTCCCAGTACTCTGATTCTCATACAAAATTAATGCCTTCTTTCAATGTTTTAAAATAGTTTAAACCCCTTTTTTAGTTAGTTCTCTGATATGACAGTGTGCACATTCATAGCTCATTCGTACATCATGGTGGTAGGTAAATAGTGGTGAGGTTGGCGCTCAATGTCAGCTACACTACAATTATCGATAATGTCCTCATTCGCGATACTGTACTCTGAGATAGCAGTTGGACTGTGTAAAAACTACTTACTAACTATTTTTAGATTCTTGCAGCAAGCATGCTGATAATGATAACAACCCCCCTAAACGGAAAAAGCATAATTCCATCGAATTATAGTGTTTAATAAAGGTGTTATACACTGGCCAAGCTTAGGCCTCGCCAAAACCGGCGGCTTCACGGGTCGGGTCCAAACCCAACCCGTTTCTTGGCGGGTTTCGGGCTGGGTATAGGTTTGGATATCCAACCCGCGGGTTTTTAAAGGGTACCTGCGGGTTAGTAAACTAGATAAATACTAAAAACTTCCGGTTTTGTTGCAACTTATATTATCAGGATTTTCCTTAAACCTAGCTACCGGGTGCGCGGTACAGTACAGTCGGAGCAATCAGCAGCGAACGTGCGCAAGATATTCCCAAAATTTACCAAGCGCTTGTCCTTTGCTATTGTTAAAGACATTGCACAAATGACGCTTTTACAGAAGCTGTGAAAGGCGTAGATGGTGTAAGTTACTGCTCTATCTTCTGCTAAACATCTCTATAGATTATTCGCACAGGATCTACGTTCCAATTTGTTGTCAAAGACCAAAAGAAAGACCTACTTCAACCTGCAATCTGTGGTACAACAGCAATGCTTCGGGCTGCGCATGCGCACTCGCCTCAAGTAACTCGGATTGTCATCATTTCGTCTTTCGCCGCCATGATTCACTTACGCAAGGGGCTGTGGCCCGAGCATTCATATTCTGAAGATGACTAAAACCCAGAGACTTATAAACAGGCAAAAGTGGCTGATGGTGTGAGCGTTTATTCTGCCTCTTAAGGCATTTGCTGAAAAAGCAGCTTGGGATTTCCTAGAGAAAGAAAACCCTGCTTTCAGCCTTTCAACAATATGCCCACCTATAATCTACGGCCCGGTGACACAGTACGTTTAAAAATATGAGATCTCTGAATACTAGCGCTGCCGATATTTATCGTCTTATGGACGGTAGCACTACTGCAGTGCCAGCAGTAGCCTTCCCCGCCTGGGCTAATATCCGCGATGTCGCAGAGGCTCATCTGCGAGCTTCTAAGCCTAATGAAGCAGCAAACCAACGATTTTTTATTGCCTCGGTCAACTACTACTACCACAAAGTCTGTGATATTCTGCGCAGAAAAATATCACGGAACTTAAGGACGGAGTCCCTATCGGCTTCCTCAAGCACAAATGTCTAGCGACCTGCAAGGTCTCAAATAAAAAGGATAAGTCCATTCTTGGGATTCGATTTACTTCCTTAGATTACAGTGTCAGAGATACTGCTAAGAGCCTGCTTGAGTTAGAGAAACATATGAAGTAATGGCTTGGGCGTGTATTGATACTACGATCTATACAGAATCTAAATAGAACATGATAAGAAAACTCGCTCTTGTTGAAAATGATAAAAGAGTCACCACTATCAGCCCATTGCATGTACGTTCCGTTCCTTAAATCATCCAGGGTCCTATTTGGCTCATGTTGTGTGTCAGCTCTTGTACAGGGTTGAGATTACAGCCGGTCGCTTACCTTCACAACCTCATCAAGAACCAAGGCATGCGCCTTAGATAACTTGGCTACTATTCTACGGTATTAGTGACGCCGGAGTTGATACTAAAGTATCTGTAGATCTGTTACTAGAAATAACTGAGTTTGTCGCTAACTTCATGCTGTTGCGGCGAGGCTTGTATACTATTTTAGTAAATAACAAATTCCTCTTCAGTATCTATTGCTGTAATGGGCAAATCCTCCGTTCAGGAAGACAAGCTCGAGATAGTCTGGTCGGCAATCTTAAAAGTTGTTGCACATGCCCCACTTCCTGTGGCTTGACAAGGCAAAATCCAGGGGGTCTTTTTTGGATTTTCTGTGGCATCTTAATAAGGTTTAAAGATCACTAAAAGTGTCCCGCGCAATGCGTAGACCTAATAGTAATATTGGATTTAGGAGCAGGGTGGTTATGGTGCTTCTGCGGATTCCGGAGTGAAAGGTGATCAATTGTTCGAAGAGCTGTTGATCGATCAGTTCTGCTTGCTGGTCAAGTACACATTGTCCCCGGCCAGTGAATTATATAGTGCTTAAAGATATCATAGCTCTCCTACCACAAGCTGCAGTGCGGTAGAGAGGCGATTATCGCATACTGGGTGCACTCCTTCGTCTCTCTGACTTTGTTAAAAGGGCTTCCAATGGCTTTCCTCTTCAAACGCGATGCTACTCCCAGCGCTCCGCTCCGCGTCCGTTTACCGTATGCCTACTCACTGACCGATTCTATGGCCCGTATACCAGGCCGGCTCAGTCCGTGGGGTGGCTCTGACTTCGGTCAGCCACTGCCGGGGTTCGTGGCTGTAGCAACATATGTGGTCTTCGTCTACAGATTGGGTAAGTTAAGTCTACATGTTCAAGAAAAGTACCGTATATCAACAGTTTCCAGCCTACGCTAGTTTCCCTGAATAAAGCTAAAAGTACCAATTATTCCCGGGAACGACCCAAGGAGAGCTAAAACCACGCTCGGGCGATTACTGCATGATGCCGTCATTGACCGCCGGGTGGCGAAAGACGGACGGACCCTTAACCCTTAGACAGACTCTCCCAGTGAGGCTGGACAACAACGGAAATAACCCCAACCTCTCCACTTAAATCACACTCGGGTGGACAACACAACATGTCAATCTACACGACGATCGCAACCAGTAAGGAGCGTCACGCCGAACTCCAGGCCGCTCTTGCCGCCGTCGAGAGCAGCCCGGAAAGGCTCCAGTCGCACAAATCCTACCTCTCGGATCTCCGCCACGCGCTGGCCGAGACCAACCAGGAGCTCACACAGCTCCGGCAAATCACCCAGGTCGAGCGCGCGCTGCACGAGAAGTATCGCGACAGCACGGTGCGTCGCCTGCTCTACCGGGCGACAGGCAAGCGGACCGATTTCGAGGCCAAGGCCGACCGGGAAATGCGTGATTACTACGCCGCGCTGGGGAAGGAGAGCCGTGCACAGGCGCAGCAGGAGATGCTGGAGGCTCAGGTCGCGGATGCGGCGGCGCAGGAGCACGATCTCCAAGCCGCGTGCGAGGCGCGGGACCGACTGCAGGAGGAGCTCGACGCCATCTATCGCGAGATCTTCGAGGGCCGCACGGAGGATTTCCCGGAGGAGGATGCGCAAGAAGAGGTCACTCAGCTGGCGCGGCGGGAGTATGGGCAGCGGCGGCAGCGTTGGAGCGATGTCCGCCAGGCGGCGCAGTGTCTGGCGAGAGCGCAGCTAACGATCCGGGAGGCGCTATTGAACCTGGTCGAGAGTCTGCGTCACTCGGAGAGGGACCTATGGGGGTTTGGTGGGACCCTGGTCGATGTGCGGCAGCAGAATTGTCTGTCCCGCGCACAGCAGAAGGTCAGCCAGACGCAGATGCTGGCGGCACAGGCGAGACGGCTGGACTCGATGGTGCAGCCGCTACCAGCCATGAGTCTGGTCCAACGGGACTGGGTCGGGGGAATGCTCTTCGACACTTTCTTCTTTCACCTTGATTTCCTGGATCTGATGCAACAATCGGTCCTGGAGATCAAGCGAGCGGAGGAGACCCTGGCCGCCGAAGTCCGGCGGATCAAGTCTCGGGAGGCAGACATGCAGGCGCAGGTGAATGAGGCGCGAATGACCTTCGAAGATGCACAGCAAGATCTTCGTCAAATCCGATACGAGGTATTCATGAAGACCGCCGACCCCCCGCCGCCCTACATCGAACCACCGACAGTGGGACATGTTTAGGGCTTTGGGTGGCCGGAGGGATGATACACCCTAAGACAGAAAATTCTGTGTAAGTAACCTAGTAGAAAAAATATCTAAACGAACAACAATCTGTATAATCGCCGTTCCTGCCAGGGTAGGTGCAAGACAAGGAGGCTCTTGGTGTGATATACAGTTCTTGGCTTGGAGCGAGATTGCAGTCTTTCATGCAACAAAGACCCCGGGGATGTCTTTGTCTCTGCCCGCTTTGTTAACTGTGAGGACGAACAATGATCCGCCAGACTGAATGCCATTGTTGTAACATTGATGAATCTTTGTGTACTTTCGTCTGCATTTACGCAAAGAAGACCACTTCTCCCCAGTAGCGCCGCTTCTTTATAGAAGGAGAATAAAGTCCTCTCTTGATGTTACTGTACAACTATCATCAGCCGACTTTACGACCAACACCAGACCTTACCTCTTTACAGTGTATAGCACCTGTGCAGCAACCGTCTCAAGATGGCCACAGGCAACAGCGCAATGGAGTTCCTCGTCACTTCCATCCACCTGGACGGTCCACAGAGCCCCCAGGGGAGCCTCCAGGCAAGCCAGCATGATGAATCCATATAATACGACCGCGCCCACCAACCGAAATCCCTCGAGCTGGTCGAAGCCATCGCTCGCTATCTCGTGGTCGAGGCCTTCGTCGCCAATTTCTACATTTGGTGTGGGTATCGAGTCTCCGAGCGCCAGTGGAAGGTGATTATCATGTTCAACAAGAAAGATATAAGCAAAGAAGCAGCCGCCGAGGCACGGCAGACCATTCTCTCCCGCTTTCTACTTCTATCACAGTCCCTCGGAGAGGAAGATATCGAGCCCGAGTGGGATCAGGCGGTTAAGCTTCGACAGACGCCGGGCGTTGTGGGCACCGTCACAAAGTGGATCAGGCCCAAGGGATGGAGGCACATGACCAAGCTGGTCGGATCCCACGGGCACTTCTTTGTCCCGGTGAGGAACAGGGTGGATGACATGGCCGAGCAGCACGCTTGTGCCCGGGAGGCCTCCGAAGGCACGTTCGCCGGCTGGTTCATCCGGGGCCTCTGGGCATTGTTGCCGGGTGGGCGACGAGACCGGGCCGATCTGACCCTGGATGAGGCGATTGCGAAGATGGAGCAGTAGAGATCAGTTTCTGTTTTTCTGTGACACAATGTATTAATATGCTTTCCTGTAGTCTCGCTCTCTGTAAAGTATTTCCGCAGGGCGAGAGGTTCGTAGTTGAGTGGGTGACCACCAGCAAATCCTTTCTGTTGTATGTTGCTATTGGCTTGTTAACTTGATGATGCTCTCAGACTAGCAAGAGGTCAGAACAGATCATATTGGGCGTGATAAGAGCGAGCCCCAAGGTTCACGTTAGGGTATTGACTCCCGCGGCATCGGCTATGTATGTACTGTTAATCTGCATGCTTGGTGTTGAGTGTCCAATATAAATTATCTTGAACCCCATTATCAACACAAGTATCTTCCCGCAGAATCACTGAGGTCCGTGAAACCTACACAATGGCATCCCGCAGAGGGCTAAAGACTAGACAACAAAGCCCAGAATCCATCCAGCAATAAAATCAATCACCCTAAATCCGTTGCAACGAGAACTACACTTGACATCAATCCTCGAGCCCATTCTCCACAATCTCGACCCAAATAATAGAGCCGCCATCCGAGTCACCCTTCGCGTTGACCTTACCGATCCAAATGGACTCGACGTATCCACCTGCCTTCACAACCGGTTACTGCAGCTTCGTGGTCGTGTCTGGAGGACCAGCCACCTGGAGGTCATACTCGCAATAGGCTGACGTCGACCCAAGTCTCGCAGGGGAAGGCAATTGTGCGGCGGTGGTGCTGGCCGGCGTCACGTAGGTATGGCCATTGTTGTCCTTGTCGCAGCTGATATCCTCCGACAACTGCAGGTTACCAGTGTTGTCAGCCCCATTCCGGAAGAGGCAGACATTGTCCTCGCCCGAGTACAGGGTAATGCGGCATTCGACACGGTCACGTCCTCGGACGACTTGTTCTCGCCCTTAATCGTGATTTTTTTGCACTTGCCCGGCGGGTTCTGTTGAAGAATGCCCTTTTCCTCAAGTGCATGAGCCTTGAGGCACTGGAGGATGAAGCCAAGAGCTGGGGAAATGTACATGCCAGCGATGCTGCCGACAATCTTCAGCCGAGGCCGTTCGCCAATTCATCTCTGTGCGGACTGTGAGCGACCTCCTCACCTAGACCAACGATGTGCTTCAAACTGACAGATCTCTTTATCCGGCAGTCTCCATTCCACTTGAAAAGCAAGGCTAGCTCCCAGCCACCAATGCTGTGCGATTATTGCAACAGATCCAGGACGTTGCCCCAAGTTTCGTTTATGCACTATTTACAGTACCGCGAGGAAGAGTTGATGGTGATATACGTGTCTCTAGTCTCTGACAGATTACATGAGATCTCAATATATCCATAGAATCTGTTAAAGCTAGTCCCCGATCATCGCCCGCCTCGACTATATTGAAAATTCCGACCAGACAGCGCACATCCATGTGCCTGACACAAGATCAGTAATCTCACCGGGCTTGTCGCACAGCGTCACCAATTATATGCGGCGCTTGTTAGAGAGTTCAATGCACGATCGCAGTCCAATTCCGCCAAGTACGCATCACCCCCGAGTCCAAGAACAAACTCGTACCACCAGAAGTCCTTGCGAGCAAATCGCAGCACTGTCGTAAAATCCCAGTAATCAGGATACCAGCCCGCAGACTCCAATCAAGAAATTCCGTGACCTTCCCATTCTTTACCAGGATATTATAATGTTTCAGATTGCCGTGACTGAAAACAATACGGTGTGGCTTTTTCTCTATTTCTCGGGCGACCGTGAGAGCATGGTTGAATTCCCCACCAGCAGGGTTTCCAGGATGCCAGCTTGCGATCGATCAACGGCTCGCTTAAGAATTACCGAGCTGGCCCCACTCCATTTGCCGACAAACCCGCCGCCGTGACATTCCCATACACTTTCACTGACTCGCCGCATGGCTTACAAATCCAGAAACAGGGTTCATGCGCGGATGGAGGTTAAAAAAGACAAGGATGAACCCTGAAGCCTGCCGAAGGTCGGCGGCATGCATTGAGCAAGGAACAGACAAGGCGGACACTGATACGATTCGATCGTCATGGCAGCGAATGTAGCTGGCTTGATCCACACGCCGGGGGAACCGATTGCACTCGAGGCTGTTGACCAGTGGGTTCCAGCAGACGGTGAGCTCCTGGTCCGAGTTGAGGCTGTCAACTTCAACCCCATCGACGCCAAACTGCAGAGGTATCAGATTGTTTTCTGCGCCCCGAACTGTTGCTGACCTATTCATCCTATGGCATTCCAGATCGGATCTGTTTCAATCCACATATCCGCTGATTGTTGGATTCACCTTTGCCGGAACGGTCATTGCCACGGGACGAGGCGTGGAGTCAGTGCAACGCGGCGATCGAGTGGCGGTCGCTCGTTGGGGCCGGACCGGGGACGACCACCGATTCGGTGCCCTGCAGCGATACGCCCTGGCTCTGGAACAGAATACGCTTCGCCTCGACCTGGAGAGCACTACCTTCGAGGTAGCCTCGGGGTTGATCGCGAACCTGGCGACCGTAGTCTCAGCGCTCAGTATCCATATGGGCCTTGCGAAGCCACCCTTGGATGGTAGTGTCCAGCCACTCCCTCCCCCCCATTCCAATATGGACGCTAGAAGGAAGCGACTTCTCGTATACGGCGGATCCTCGGCGGTTGGAGGGCTGGCCGTGCAATATGCGGCGGCGGCTGGGTATGAGGTTGTCACCACCGCCTCCCCGGCCAATCGCCCCTTGGTGAAGGCACGCAAGGCTGCTACACATATCATCGATCATTGTCAACCCAGGGAAGATCTCCTCGATGAGATCCGAGCCCATGGTCCCTACGACGGTGGGATCTTCGAGGCCATTGGGTCCCAGACGACCACCCAGCTCATGGCGGACTTGCTGCGGGATACCGGGGGTCAGTTCTTCTCGACCAGCCCATCCCCGGGTGATGATCGACTCCCGGCCAATGTGACCAAGACATGGTCGGGTTACAGCGAGGACTTGGTTACGAACCCAGAGAACCGGGAGTTGCGTGCATGGTATATGGAGCGGTTTCTACCCCGGGTTCTGAAGAATGGAACGATATGGCCGAACCCGGGGCTGTGGCTCCCAGGAGGGCTTCGCTCCGCTCAAAGAGCATTGGTTTTGCTGCATGAGGGGAAGGTCAGTGGGAAGAAGGTGTTGATCAATCCCCAAGAGTAGGCCAGGGGGAAGATGTTTTATGTGACCGATTTCCATCTTCCCAACCGAGCCAGTTACATTGTGCCCTGGCAGGTCGTCGTTGTGCTCATACCCCCGCGGGTACAAGGTGTAAAAAGTACAGCACCCTGCCTTTGTCAGATATGACTCGGGTCATGAGGTTAGAGATGGACAGAACCCCGGCCACTCTATGACATTCAACAGCACACTGAGTGATTCAAAAATTTATGCCTACCTACTGCTCCGTGGTGATAAACACGTCCACCTACTCCACCCCTGTGTACTGTACTGTAATCTGTCGCGTCGGGTGGGTATTATCTGTAACACATAACGTGTATCTAGACCCAACCCCCACATTATTCGCCTGAACATCACGGCACATTCTCACCCACGAGTCTAACTTCCCCCTCCAGTCCGTCAACCCATGGTAGCCTATGGGTCTTCGGGTCTGCTTGGTCACCGATACCTTGACCCTCAAACTTGGTAACTTTGGTGGAGCGGGGTTCCAAGATCTGCCATCCATTTCAGAGGAAGAGGACCACTACCGGATTTTCCCTGGAACGCCGCGCTCCTTCCAAACCGATAGATTTGCCCTCGGCTGTTTGATTTATGAGATCACAGTAGGAACGAAACCACATGCAGAGATTGACGACGAGAACTGGGAGAAGGTATAATCCCCATGATTTTGCAGTGGTGATGGTGGGAAAGTGGTGTTGCATCTGCTCCAGCACAACGGGTGGGCATCGGCCTGAGGCTATCCCGTAGCCCGAGGTCTACTTGTATACAACTTAGAGAGCAGAAGGTCATGTCATATGCGAGCTATGTACACTACACCTGGCATCGAAACAAATATCCTGTACAGTAAGAAAGATCAGGTTGGCGGACTTCAATCCCCTCGCAACGCCACATCTAATTCAATGTCGACACATATCTATGATCAATCATTTCGTGTGCAGTCAAGCTGACGAAGAGCCCTTGTACGACCGAACCTCGCCCTCCAAGTCCAAGGCGGCCTCGTGCTGATGCTCATCCGGGCCGAACCCCTCATCCATGCCCGGCCACAGGGTCCGCCGCGAGAAGTAGGCCCAGATGTGCATACTGGCGCAGCCCAGCCACAGAATCACTTGTATAAGGGTTGCCGCCGTTCCGACGCCCTGTATAGCGGATGAGTCGAGCAAGTCACCGATCTTGATGATGGCAAGCGCAAATCCGGTGTTCGGGAACACGGTCGCCCACCAAGTGATGTCGAACTTCCACTCGCGGCGAGCGTCGAAGATGCTGAGCCATCCGATACTCCAGAAGAACAGAGCCACAACCCAAAGGAAGATCGAGACGAACACGGCCATCACTAGCAAGACATCGGCTGTGTTGACCTGACTGGCAAGGGGGATCAGATGGGTGGGAAACTTCTCGGTGGCAGTCTGCGCCATGCCCATCAGCGCCACCGCCGTGAAGGCCGGCGGCCCAACGGCAATGAACATCTGCGGGCGACGACGCATGGGCGGTAGGCCCTGGTGATGCAGGCCGTAGATGTATTCTGCCAGGATGAACACGGAGATCATGAACCCAAAGCCTTGCAATGCGGTTCCGGCGATGAGCATGGGGATCGCGTAGTGTGAGGGCTGAGCGGACGTGAGGAGAGAGGCGATGGTTCCGCCCAGCATGGCTGGGAAGGATGGGAGGAGACGGACGAGCCAGAACGGCTGTCGGGCGGCCATGCGGGTGCGGTAGAGATGCCAGTTCATGCCCACGGCCAGACAGATGGCGATGGCCGTGTAGATCCAGAAGCAGACCAGCTGGACCCAGCGCAGCCACACCCCGCAGGCTGGGATACCGTAGACCTCGATGCCGAAGAGGATGGTTGCGAAACCCAGGGCGGCGGTGGCGATCAGGTAGGATTCTTCGGGGTCATCGAACGTGTCGACCAGGGCGTGACGAAAACGGGAGAAGCGGATGATCAAGGAGGTCCAGATGCCCAGGTAGGTGACAATGTCGAGAATGAAGAAGATCTTGCCAATGACCAGCAGGCCGTCGAACTTGTGCGGACAGTTGTACAGCAGAGTCGCAATACTGCCGGTGCTCATGGAAATGGAGAACCATCCCCAAGTCACTCGACATATTCGATCCAGGAAGGTCACTTTGGCATTGTCCATGGTTCTGGGGGTGCAGTGTTCCAGCTGTTGTATCGAGGGAATGGGGGAAGAGGAGCGAGGGCTCTGGGGGTTGAAATGTCTCGTGGGGGAGGGCCGCATCCTGGAGGTCGGGGGTTCCACCATGGACCCCAAACGACGACGTAGTTGTTGGAGACGTGGTCAGCCGAGATGCCGGCACAGCCGACATAAGCAATGCGCGGTTTTTGTACTGGGCAATCTGGGCAGGAGGACTACGGACTGGGTGGCCTCTACGTCCAGCCCTCTTCTTCTTATTTCCGCGGCGGCAGCCCTCGTCGGTTCAGCATTGTGGGACACAGCAGGATGGTTGCCCTCGATTATTCATAGAAACCATTTTCTATGTCGTGAGAACTGTTTTGCGAACCGTCGTAGTAAAAGTATCACAACTTCATCACATCTTGTGAATCGTCATCCTGTCTTACTACTACCATTATTGTCGGTGAAGGTATCGAGAGAGCTCGTTCGGACTTGACTTGGCCGGTGAGCTTCCGACTCGGGCCGATAAAGTCCTGTCGGCCAGGCTTTCGGTGAGTAAGTACTTGCAACCAGTGGTAAATGATAGGCATGACCGTAGTTAAGGTAAGGCCAAGCATTCTCGGCCAAAGCTTGACTTTGCCACTCGTTTGGGTCAGCCCGGAGGTGGATTTCCCCTGAGATGAGGCGACAAAGTTTTCCGGGGATTTGCAACTCCGCGCCTCGGACAAAAATCCCGCAAGCTGCCACTCCAAGGCATCCACGTTAGCTTTGGGTTTCGTCCCTGGACTTGGTTATATATAACCGCTGATAGCCTACTCAGCATGAGAACAGAAATGACAAGGAATTTGTCGATGTTGGGTGCTTGTTTTTCGCCACCGGTGCAAGCGAGATTCGCGAGAGACCTACCGAGGCTATGGTCTATTCAACTTCAGCCGACGTCGACCTAAATCAAAGGACCTCAACTACTGCACAGACCATGAGTGAACATACCCAGTGACAGAGGACTTGGACTCCAATGGGACCATGTTCGCAGCTTACTAGGTAGGGCTACTGGGCTCAAGAAACCCCATCCGATCATGTGACTGGTAGCCCTGATGGCCTGACCGTTTTGCGCTTCACGTTCAAGATATGTGAATAACAGTCTTGGCTTTAGGCCGACTGAGTCGTTAGCGTGTAGAGGCGGGAGGATTTCCTAGGTTTCATGACAACCCTTCAAGCCTTCATGTTGTAGTGTCAAAGCACAGGGTCAAGAGTATGTCCGTTGCGCTAGATTGGTAGGTAGGGACGACCGGCAAGTTGTCTCGACAGCATAATGACCTGTGTTTGCGCTCATTCGGTCACGTTGTCCCATGCGTAGATCTGGATGATGATAATCGAGCAACAAGAAGCCGTAGATATCTCTAATCGCATGGTTGCGCCTGCAGTCTTTCGGCCCTCCTCGGTCGGTGGTTTCAGGTTTCAGCCAAGGGCTCGGCGGAATCCCCTTCAAGCCGCTTACCTGATTAATCTCTTTCGACACAACCAGGTCTCACAGGGTCAATCACCGTGATAACTTCATCACGGAGGAATCTTCCTGTCTGCTAGAAATATCCGGGAGGAAGCGCCGAGAGAGGGAGGTGGGTCCGAAAAGGGAAATTGGCGTAGCAGCCTGCGGCACTGGTGCCTGTCATCGGGATCGAAGTAGATGAATTCTCAGCCTTGGCTGACGGCCTCAGGGCTTCGAGACCCATAGCCCCACATTCTTCAACTCCTCTATCCTAGGGCTCCGGGGCTTTGTCGAGACAATGTCAAACAGGGGACTTCTGCAGACCCTCCCTGTAGCCAGCCCTCAGGAGACGCCAAGGCTGAGGTCTAACCACCTCCAAAATTCTATAAAGCGACCTTCGTGCTCCCTCGTCAACCACCGAACCAGATCGATCATCGCACATCGCACTTCATACCTCATACCTCAGTCACCATGTACACTCGCGCTCAAGTCCTCGCGGCCGTCGTCGCCCTCGGTGCTACCACGGTCAACGCTGCCATGGGCCCTGCCTTCAGCACCGGCCCCGTCGCCTCCAACTCGTGGATCCGTGAGGCCACCTCCACCCTGGTCCTTCCCAACGGTCCCAGCGGCGGCTCGACTGATGCCATCACCTCCCTCTGGGTTGGCATGGGTACCTCCAACGGTGACCTGATCCAGTCCATTGCCGACAACTGGCAACAGAAGGACTGGACCATGTACGCCTATACCCTGATGAAGACTGGTGGTGAGTGTCCTGCAATCTTGAGATCCTGCATGATCCCGACGGACCAGATACTGACCCGATTGTCGTTGTAGATTACAGCCAGATGCCCATCTACGGTGACGGCCAGGAGGATGGTACCAAGGGTGACAAGGTCACCATGCACTGTAAGGCTCTCTATACAGTCCCTGCCCTGCTCCCAGACTAACACTTCCTTCAGACAAGTTCGATGATGCGAGCGGCAACTACACCCAGACGGTGCAGATCAACGGCAAGACCATCTCTACCCTGTCGACCAGCGACGGCCACGCTCAGGGCTGGGGTAGCGCGGTGGAGTGTGCTGAGAACAACTGCGGCACTGTTGGTGCTCACTGTAAGTGTCTACTGGCTGGCCTGTTGCAACTTGAGGGCATGGCTAACTCAATGCCTCTAGCCTGGATCAACACCAAGATCATCCTCGACGTGGCGGACCCCAACTATATCAACACGATGGCCAAGGGTAGCGGGGTGACGGGCGAGATGACCACCACCGACGGTGGCAAGACCTGGACGGTCTCGACCATCAGCATCCCCGAGTTCAGCTTCGGCAACTAAGCGCACGACCGCGTCCTCCGTCTCGGGGCTCTTTGTA